AAAACCTTCTTCACATTAAAGGAAACAATCAAGAGAATAAAGAGAGAGCCTACAGAATGGGAGAAAATCTTTGCCATCTGCACCTCAGAGCATTAATCTCCAGGATATATAAAGAACTCAAAAACACCACCAAGAAAACAATTGACCCAATCAATAAATGGGAAAAGGAACTGAACAGACACTTCACAGAAGAAATACAAATGACCAACAAATATATGGTGACACAGTTACATCAATGCTTATAGCAGTTCAATTTACAATAGCTAAACTATGGAACCAAAGTAGATGCCCTTCAACAGATGAATGGATAAAGAAAATGTGGTATATGTACACCATGGAATAATACTCAGCCATAAAAAAGAATGACTTTATGACATTTGCTGGTAAATGTATAGATCTGGAGACGATCAGGCTACATGAAATAAGTCAATCCCAAAAAATCAAAGTTTGAATGTTCTCTCTGATATGTGGATGATAACACACAACAAGGAGGGGAGGGAAAGAATAGAAATACAGGGGATTAGACAAAGGGCTATGAAGGGAAGGGAGCGGGGAAAGGAAAGACAGTGGAATGAACCTGACATTTTTTTCCTGTGTACATATATGAATACATCACAGTGAATCTCCACATCATTACATCCAAAAAACTGGGATCCTAACTAGAATAAGACATACTCCATGTTTGTATAAATATGTCAAAATAAACTCTACCAAAAAAAAAAAAAAAAGGATGGCTTAAGGCTGCTCTCTTACTCTCTATGACTTCCACAATGTTCCACCAAAGGCTCTTTCTAGATGCAGGCCCTTGACCTTAGACTTTTCAGTCTCCAAAACTGCAACAAATCAATCCCTGTTCTTTACCAATTATCCAGGCTTAAGTATTGAGTAATATATAGAAATGTTATTAATATTTCAATCAGTTAAGACAACCTAGTGAAAATTTTTTCTGTAACATGGCTACTATTTATATTTAGTATGTAACATAGTACCAGAAAAAATGTTTAATGCAAAAGCAGGCACCTTCAAGTTTTTACACCTCACTTTCCTGAATCATACTTATTCCATGTACCGATTTATCCCCAAAATAAACAAATTAATAGATCTGTGGTACATTTCCAATTTCACATTTCACCCTGAATTTTAAATCTATATTGTCCCATTCTGACTGTCTGTGAAATTCTCCAGGTTTCTTGATCCCAATCTTATAATTTATTCATTTGAAATGATTTTTTTCCTATCCCAAACCAAAACCACTGGTTTCTCTCCATTCCATAATCCCCAGGGTAGTTAATTTTTAGAAATGCAAGTCAAATTATGTACCCTCCCTCCTTCAGCGGCTCCTCATGTTACCTTATAATAATGTCTCCAAATTCCCTAGTGCTTTACCAGATCCTTCATAATATGGTCATAATTTGTTTCAAAAGATCAATGATTTAATTTTCATTTCTTTCCATTATATGCTTTAGCCAAATGGGAATTGATTCCTTGATTACTACCAAGTACTCGCTCTCAAGGGTTGCTTTTTCTTCCTAGATTTGCCCCACCCCCACCCCCCAGAAGTCTCTGGAAGGCTTCTCTGATTCAGGCTACTTTTTGATCATAACACACTACTGTAGTATTTATGGTATTATATATGACTGTTTATTAATCTTTGCCACCTATGAGACTACTTGAAATCAGAGGTCACATCTCTACTAAGTAGTATATAAATACTGGTTTATGAGTTATTAGTAGAAATAATAATAGCCATCACATATTGAATGCATTCTCTATGTCAAATTCAAATCTGTGAGGTTTGAATAAAACCCTAGGGTAAACAACCTTTACTGAGTGCTTACCAAAGCTGTGCTAAGAAAAAACATTATCTTACTTAATCCTATGAATAATCCGATAAAATTGGTTATTTTCAGTTATACCCAAGGAAACAAATTCAGAGATTAAGTGATGGATTTGGGAAAAGAATCCATGTCTTTCTCACTTCAAAATCTACACTTTTTTTAACAATTATGATATACAACGTCACCAACTAGGTTTCATTTCCTTCAATCTATATTTGTCTCATCCAAAGTCAGTTTCCAACATGGTCAAGATTATCTTGTTTCACACACACACCAAAAAAAAAGAAAAGAAAGAATCTTAATTTATTTTGAATTGCACAATAATATTATTTGTTTTCTTTATGGATTCAAAGACTCACATTTGCCATCACCCTCTGTGTAACTTTTTGTCTTTGCCTCTAAGCTTTTCCTTTAGATGGATGTTGAGAACAAGGATGGAAGTTTTAGTGGAGAGAGGCCACAACTCATAATCTAATTCTGGAAAGGCTACACTATAATCCAGTGAGTATTTAGTTTAAGGAGAGAAAGAGGTCAAGGGAGGAAGGGACACATGATTGGGTGGCTGTTAATAGATGTACAGAGCAATAAATGAAATATCACAGACAAAATCACATCACAAGACTATATGCTCCAAGGCAACATTTCTTAACCATTTTCCTTTCTGTGAAATGGAAATACTGAAAGCTTCCATTTCAAGGGTCGTTATGAAGATTAAACAAGGTAATACAGGAAAAACACTCAAAACATATATGGCCATGAAGCATTTAATAAATCTCAGTATTGGTATTATAATTGGGGATACAGACCTCTGAGAAGCACGCGAAAAATACAGATTCCTGAACCCATGTTTTAGTCTTAAGTCAGAATTTCAGGTATAACTAGATAAAAATAAGGAAAGTCAGTGAAAGTCCTAAATGATGCTAAGACTCAAGAGTCCAGAAATGAAAAGAAAAAGGAGTATCCTAAATAGTTGGAATTCTCAAAAACAAAACATGAGGAAGTGGCTACAGAACAAAGCATTAGCAAATAAGAGAAGCAAGCAGCATTCAGGTTTAAGTGAACAGGGGTCACACTTTTTACTATATTTTGCAAATATAAAATGTATTTGCATCCCACCTGTTGCTAAACATAACTATGCTTAACAAATACTCTAGCATTAGTTACATTAGCTCCGAAGTCAGCAAGTGATGTCAGTACAAAAGGCATGTTGAAACAATCAGATACCTGAGAGAAAGGCAGTATGATTTGGAGAGAAGTGTCCATAAACCTGAATGGAGGTTTGTGGACATTAGTCTTAGCTTCTCAAATATTCCCTAGCTCCAAAAATCCCCACCGCTGCAGACTGTCTCTAGTCGTCACTGTTTAGTCCTTCCCTCCTGCAAGAGAACCCACAACACTCACAACTCCTTCGGACAATGAAGAAGAGATCAGAGAGGACAGGTTGAAGGGAGGGAAGACAATATTAAGTACCCAAAATAAGGCAAGCATGGTGAGTGGTCCTGTCCCAGAGATCTGAAATTAATCCAGGGGAAAGGACCTAAAGGAAGGGGACTAACAGCGGGAAAGAAGGACTAGCGGGTGAGAGGAAGGGAATGAGAGTTCCAGGACTGATGACCAGCAAGGGCTGAAGGGAACGAAGGCTCCAGAGGCGGACAGGCGGTGAGGGCAAAAACAGACTGTACTGAAGAGCGAAACGCAGGCGGGAGGCGAGCTCTGGGAGCCACCAAGTGTCACTGGCTTACCTTGCTACGCCCCCCTGAGGCGACGCGCTGCTGAGAGCTGGGGGCCGGGAAAGACTGAGAAGGGACGTTTAGCATCCTGGATCCCTGGCCCGGGCTCTGCCCGGAGTCGCTCATTCGGCTGGACCCCTCTCAGACCAGATTCTCCCGCTCCGGCTCTGCGGCCGGGCAGAGGCCGAGCCCCCGACCCACTTCCGGGGTCTCCAGGGGTGAAGCACGCCATGACGCAGAACGTTAGCGGAGGGCGGAGCCAATGGAGAGAGCGCCGGCGGGGCGGCAAGAGGGGGAAAGTACGCATGCTCAGTGGGTCCGGCCGACTAAACTTCAGCACTGGATGGAGGTGACAGCTATTTCGCGGAAAGATCAGAGAGTGAAGCTGTTCCTCAGCCCTGGTGCTGATCGAATCCGAGAATATATTATTGTAAAGTCTTGTTAACCCAGAACATCACTGTCTGTTCGTTGATAAGCGGTACGATTGTACTACCTGAAATATGGACTAAAATAACACTATTACAGCATTCTGATTTCTTTGAAATTCTCTCCTGTGAAACACCAGGCTGTACAGTAAGAAGAATCTCACAACTACCTCTGATCTTCGCCTTTACCTGCTATCATCCTGGAATATTACAGAGATATGTTTACTTGTAATTACATTGTTTATTGTGAGATTGGGTATGAACTAAAAAGGACTTCTTGACCACAGTTTACTATATTACCGTAATCCGGCAAATTTCTCCTGTTTTCTCTCTCATTAAGAAAATTGATAATGTGAATAACGTTTCATATCTACCAAATAGCTCCCCTTTGGACAAAAAAAAAAAAAGATCAATACTTTTCCATTCTGGTCTTTAGTCTCCAGTTTTTTAGGTTTCAGGTAAATCATCCCCATTTAAGCAGTTTGTTTTAATTATAACTATCCCTTAATGTAGTACAATAAATAATGGACACCCCACACTATTTTACTACTAGATTTAAGAAGAGCAGACAAGAATTATTATCATTATTTCTTTATAATTCCTAAAAGTTTCAGAGTCCTACTACTGACTTCCTTTCCAATTGTAGAATAATGATTTTAAAGTATTTTTCACTATCTGCTAGCAGACACATAATAATAAAAATGTGTGCTTGGTAACAAAGTGATATTCTTCATTATCTAATAAAATAATGTTATCTGTAATTACAACATTCCAGTGAGGTCAGTACAAAATACTAGATGTTACAACATCTAGTATTCAGAGATTACATATTGTCATTCTTTGCAAAATTATACATACAGGTAAATGTGTAATTTAATGAAAAGACCGAAAATATCTCTGTAAGCCCCAAATAGTTATAATATAATCAAGACATTTGTAAATGGCATTTATTTTAAATTTCAACATTTAATTCTAATGAAGGGATAAAAAAGTCAATACTGCCATAGTATTTATATAATATTTCCTTTTATTAATAAATTATATACAAATAAATTAGTTTAAAAGATTATGATACATTTATACACCAAAGCCCATGAGCTTTGAATATCATCAAAAGTAACTAATTAGATTAATTTTCACAGGTCAGCTGCTCAATTTCATCTTCACTATCGGAATCTTCATAAAATGAAATTGTCGCTTGAATTGGAAAAATTTTCAGAAGAGCTTCTGCTTCTTGATATAAGTAATCATAACACTTTGATTTTGGCCAAAATAGCCTGAAAGAAGCAGACAACATAGTATGCTTTATTTTGTTCACATTCAGAATCCTCATACTTATGAAAACACCAAATTTCAAGAGCACTATACCCTTTGCAATAGATGTATGCATTTAGGTACAGCCTTAAGATAGTTTTAAAATGCTACTATCACAGTTTTCATAGAGTCTATTTGCCAATAATTAATGGCTAATTATTTTAAATATCTATCCAAACTATAAAATAGATCAAACAAATTTATATAAACCCTACATAAGCATAAAATCAATATTTAGCTTACTTCTAGTCTCTACATTCCTTAAGGGGAAAAAAATGAATTCTACCACTACAATACCAATTCCAGTGATAATCAACTTTATAAAAATGACAAATATTATGCAAGGTGTCCATCATCTACTGCCTTCTTTAAAACTCACAGGTTTAACTATTAGTAATAGATGTAGCCAATACACATTTAGAAAGTACCATAACCAATATTTTTAAAAGTTGGTCTATGCATTTACAACTTGAGACATAGAAAGGCTACCTTTGACACAGTCTTGAAATCATCTCTTCTCATTTCCCAATCAATTTGGAACACTATACTGAGATATTGAGAAATGATATAGGTTTCAAACAAATAATTTGCCTGTAAGCACCATTATCTCAGAATTTTTAATATCTGGCAAGTGTTAATATTGCCACTTGGCTTTCTATTGTGTTTTATCCAAGCACAAAAGGAGAAGAGATAAGGCTGAATTACTGACTAGAGCACAGTTATTTTAGTTTAGGATGAATAGCACTGTGTATAAGTGAGTGATTCTAAAAAACAAAGGATTATATTATAATCAGTATTCTCAATTTTAAATTGTGGGAAAAAAGACAATGATGTTTATATATGTTTCTAGCAAAACATTTTTAACGTTTATAATTTTGATGCTTAAATATGTAACTATGGGTTATTCATTCAATAAATATTGGGATGATTCCTTAAAATGCCAACATAATTCATATATCAAAGATGAATAAATCATGACCCCCTACTCTCAGGAATTTGCAATTGAGTGAAAAGATAAATAGTAGTCAAGATATAAATTAATAAAAATAAAATAAACTTAAGAGAAGCATAATTAAATTGTAAAAGAAAGTAATTGCTTATGAAGATAACAGTTTACTTTCTAATATTTAATTGGAATTGCCAAACCTAACAAATGCTGGTTAGTTGTTATCATCATACTCTGCCCAGAATTTCCCATTGTGGACTATTTTTCTTCCAGGGACTCCATATTTTACTGAATTACTCCCTCTTCTGATTCTTCTTACTCCTTTGTGGACTTCTCTTTCTCTATATACTGGTGAGATACAGGCCTTCCCCCAAAGCTTCATTGAGAATGATCAGTTCCCACCCCTCGGTTACCCAGGATGAGCTGAGTACTCACTGTCATGAATTCCCCAACCCTTGATTTACCATAGACTCCCAAGCTTATACTTAATATTTTAACATATATGTAGCTCTCTACCTGATATCTCTATTTTATTGCCCCATAAGCATTTAAATATGACAAATGGAAAGTTGGATACATTACCTTGCACTCCAAATCTGTTCTACGCATTAATTTATTTCTTATTTCTTTCTTTTTTTTTTTTTTTTCTTAGTGCAAGACTCACCTTGTCATCAGAAACTTGGGAGGAATTTTGGCTTTTTACCACTGCTGCACCTATCATATCCAATATATCTTAAAGCCAAACTTTGTCACCTAAGTATTTTCCAAATTCACCCAGACCCATCCTCACTTCCAATGTCTTAGAAAAGCTTATCATCATTTCTTACCTGAACAATTTCAATAGCTTCCAATTACTTTTGGTGTTCTAAATTATATATAATTTCCTTAGTGATTTTTTTTTTGGAAACATAAATCTGACCACACCACTCTATGGTTAAATCCCTTGAGTAATAAGCAAATTCATCTATAGAGTAAACCTATGAGATCTTAACAAAGCTCTGTATCAAGATGTACAAGCTCTGACCTCTGGCTACCCTGCTGGAATGACCACAGCTTCACACACCCAAATTCCATTCTGCCCCCACCTCCCCATCCATCTGGTTAACTTCTTCAAGACTTCAGGCAGTCACAACCTGTGATGCACACCTCCCTGAGCTCACTTAGGCACTTCATGCCCTCTTCGCAACTGTAAAACTGACCAAAATAAACTCCATTAGGACGTTTACAAGGTGCTGTCATTTTTTCCTATGTTCTTCAACAACTGCTAACACATGGTAGAAAATTAATCAGCATGTATTAATTATTATGTGCTATCTATAAACACATACATCCTTTACAAACATCATACATCTCTTCTTTTAACAGCTCTCTGATGAAGGAAAATGGCATAATTATTAACCTTTAGTCTGAATAAGAGCTACAAAGAATCTTACAATAAAGGCCCACTTCCAGGGGCAAGAAATAGTAAATAGTTTCTCCTTGTTATGTTAAATAACTTTTAAGCTCTTTTAGGATTACCCTTAGTAATCTTTAGGATTTTTTTGTTACATTTTTATTTTCTCTCATGTGTCAAGCTTGATTTTCTGTGAAACTGCAATCATTAACTCCATTCTTGCTTCTGGTTTGCAAGAGAATGACCTACCACTCACTTCTGTCTGGTATGAAGTCAATTTCATTCCAACCCTTTGGGATTACAAACAAAACAAAAGCGAAAACCATTTTTAGGCACAAGATGTCACCATTCTACTTTTCCTATACAACACATGTTCTCTTTTTCAACATATTCCTTAAGCATTTACTGAGTATGCACCGATTTAACTGTTCTTTCAGGTGGGGGCGAGCACTCCTACATTTTTCAGTCAGATGAGTAACCCACCTCTGCGAGTGGGATGAACAGAGTAACCTTAAAGATAGATTTTCCAAGAAAGAAAAACTACAGGATCAGCTGCCTAGCTGAGCTGGGTGAAGCCTCCAGCCTCTCCTTGGGGATGGAAAAGCAGGAAATCTTCAGTAGGGCCTGTTACTTACCTGACTGGGTGTGTATACTGGAAAAGCTTTCCTGAGGCTTGAATCATTCCTGGACCATTGGGTATCTGGGGACCAAAGGAGATGATTCGCAGTTACCATCCACCTCCATCTCAAAAATGGAAATGGGCACGCCACAGAGTCTCTCAAGCTTGCAGGAAATGTGCCCCCCCCCCCCCCCACCTCACCCCCAGCTTCTCAGCAGCCGGGCTCCTGGCAGGATCCCTGTGGCCGACACTGGAGAATACACTCGCCTTCCTCAACATTGGCTGGGCCACAGGCAGGCCCAATCTTAAGCGAGGGTGCAGACGGAGGACAGGTGTCCTTCAGGTCCTACGTCTCCAACCCCCTCTCTGCATCCTAGGAGGGGCAACCCGCCACCCAGGGTTCACTCACCGTCTCCGCTGCATAGTGCAGCGTCCCTTCCTCTTTCTCGCCTCTGGCTTTAACCCAAGGTCTCCAAAAGACTGCGGATCTGCTGAATGGGAAGCACAAGCAGCGCAAAGGAAACGTGAGACCGAACCACACTTCGGGAGAAAACACCTCAGCCAACCGGGGGCACCTGGTGTCTTGACCGGGGGCGGAGGGTAGGATCTGGGAAGAGGAGAAGGGAGGGACTAGGAAGAGAGTTCAGGGCCGCGCCGGGGAGTGATACCCGGAGTCCGCGGCCCCGCGTCGCGTCCGGACGTCAGGGACGGCTGGCAGCAGGCGGTGGCGGCGCGCGCGCTCGCAGGCTGCGCTCTCTGCGTTCTCCGCGCTCTCCGCGCTCTCCGCGCTCTCCGCGCTCTCCGCAGTTTCCATGGCGCAGCCCGGATCCGGAGAAGGCAGCTGCCAACTCGTGGGCAATCCTGGCAGCTTCCACCAGGTCTGACCCCCTGGCTTTATATAGCCCTTGCGGCCTGCTGCATATTTAGAAGTTCGCACCCTATCTGCCCCTCTCTCCCCACATAAACAAAAAGGCTGCGCGTGAAGGCGCACCGGGCTGAACTCCGGGTGTGAACGCGTGCAACTCCCAAATGGCCCGAGAAGGGGTTTTGTCAAGCGAGTGTTAATCGCCCCGGACACATGGCCGCGGTGAAAAACAACATTCGCCCGAGCAGCCAATTTCCAAGTGAAGAGGTTAGGAGGGGATAAAATTAAGCGATTCTACACGTTTTGTGTATTTCTGCAAAAAAGCCAAGTGGTTGGTAATTGATCTACTAGTCTCACGGGTTTGGGGCCTTTGGCAAATGCAGCTGGATCTGCGGTCCATGTTCTGAAGGCTGGACATGGACCCAAATGAAAAGGAATGGCTTTAATTCCTATTTCTGCAACAACTGAAGAAAGGTCGGTGGGGGCGGGGGTTGTGGATGGACTTCTTAAGAAAGAAATGTCGGGTTTTATTATTATTTTTAATGTATTGATAAGCTAGGTTCACATATTTACCTATTATTATTTGGAGATCATAGAAAATCATTGGCAACAAGAAGAGATGTGAATGTTCCAGTCAAGAGGGACAGAGCCTGGAATCATGTGATTTGGGCATAAATAATGGCCCATATATCTTCTCATACCTGTGATTTTCCCCCAACATCTAGTCAATATCCCCTTACAATTAGTCTTGAGGTTCATATCTCTACATTTTCATCATTACTTGGCATGCTGTCACTCATTGATAACTGGAGAATTCTTTTGTGAAGGTGGGAATATGTGTGAAATAATAATGAAATCTTAAATTACCATATGAAACAAGGTAGTGGTTCTTTCTAACCTGTTTCACTTATCTGTTGAGGTCCATTAAACTTGGTGATTCTTCAAATGGAAAATGATATATAAATGTGATAATTTTTTTCAAAATATTTTAAATAATGAAGCTGATTTTAAAAAAGTTGTAGGTAAAACCTTGAATGCAAGCTGTGTTGTCTCCACTATTCATTCAATTGCTTCTTAAGAAAATAATCCATTTAATTAGCACCTAAAGGCCTATAATGATCTACCTGCTGGGAGAATGAGAAATGGTTTCCTTCAGATAATGAAATTAATGAGGAGAGATACTCAGTGCATGTCTCAATAACCTAGAATTATTGTTAGGCTAAATAAAATAAAGCTTAATGAATGCTAGTTGCATGACTGATGCATAGTGAATCCTCAACAGATTATAAGCTATTATGGTTTGGATATGAGGTGGATCTCAAAGCTACTGCTAATACAATAATATTCAGAAGTAATATTATTAGAAGGTGAGAGACGTAGTCTATTCAGTCCATCCTTGTTTGAACGGACTAACTGGGTAGTAAATGTAGGCAGATGAGGCTTGGCTGGTGAAGGTGGTCACTAGGGGCATGCCTTGGAAGGGTGCATCTTCCCTATCACACATACCTTCTCCTTCCTTGCTTCCCAGAGGGGAGCAGCACTCCTCCCCTGGGTCCCATCACCCATGGCATGCTGCTTCTCCTTGAGCCCAGAGCAATGGAGTTGGCCATCTATGGACTGAAATTCCTGAAACTTTGAGTCTCAAATAAACTTTCTTTCTCTAAATTGTCCTTGTCAGGTATTTTTGTCATAGTGATATGAAAGCTGTCTGAAATATAAGCTCTTTAGAGATGTTGGGCTATCTGATGAAATGGCTCAGTATTTCAGTTTCATAAACATCTTTGATGTGTCCACAAAATGTTAAGTAATACATTCCTCATATATAATGGTGAATAAAGTATGATCCTTATTGTCAAGAAGATTGTACTCATAATCTATGGCCATTACAATGGCCACATAAGTAGATTTCTAAAAAGGACACATCCAAAAGCAAAAATATATTTTAGGCAGAGAAGTGACAAAAGGGAGGGACTTTAAAAAAGTCTATTTAGGAAAAACTTCTTAGAGTAAATGAAACTTCAATTGATATTTCTAGAGGATCAATCAAAGGATATTATTGTCTGTGTATGTTGGTTCAGAGGAGGGAGGAAAAGGAATGAGTTATTTCAGAAGCAGAGAAGTAGCTGAAGAGATGTAAAACTCTTGGACTTCTCAAAGCCTAACATGCCATGCTAAGATGTTTTGACTTTATTTTAAGTGCTTATGGAAGATTTTAAGAAGGAATTTTAAGTGGAATGATAACATTGCATTTTATAAAAATCACTTCGGCAGCTAGGCACAGTGGTGCATATCTGCAAGGCCAACTTCTCTGGAGGCTGAGGCAGGACGATTGCAAATTCAAGGACAGCCTTAGCAAGACTCTCAGGAATTTAGTGAGATTATGTCTCAAAATAAAAAACAAAAAGGACTGGGGATATAACTCAGTGGTAAAGTGCCCCTGGGTTCATCCCCCGGTACCAACAACAACAAAATAATTTGGTACCCTCTGGGAAGAGGGAGATTGAGAAGGCTGATGCTGGAGAAAAGGAGACCATTTAAAGATTGCTGTAATTGTGTAGACAATACATAAGAAGATATATACTAAGAGTGCAGGTGAAAGGACAGACTTGAAGGATACTTAGGAAATGGAATTCACAGAACTAAATGCTGGTAGACTTGAGAATAGAGTCTAAATATGCTTCCATGTTTCTAGACTGGGTAAGCATGTGGATGAAGATGGCTCACACAAAGACAAAGAAGAAAGGGAATATAGGAGAAAGAGTATACCTTTATTTGTTTATTTTGTTTTATTCTTTTCATGGCCCACAGGAGGAAAAAATACCAAACTTGATTTTGGATCTTCAATCAGTCAGGACAGGCTGGGTGATGCAGCAGTAAGAAGGAAGTCCAAAATCTCACCAGCTTAAAATAGCAAAGACTTATTTCTCACTCATGCTATATATGTCCATTGTAAGTCTGTGGAAGATCGGCTATAAATCATCTTCACTAGAATGCAAGCTGATGGATCCTCTTTTCTCTAAAATGTCACCAGTTTACAGGGAAAAGGCAATAAAATTATGTGCCAGTTTTCAAAGGTTTCTGCCTACAGTAACAATATCACCTCAAATAAATTTCATTGGCCAAAATAAGTCATGTGACACACCTAATTTCCAAGGACCAGGGAAGTGTATTTCCACTCTATTCCCCCCAAAAAGAAAACCAGAAATAAACAACATATAAGAGTACCAAGTCTGCCTTGCTGACTGCTAAATATTCAATTTACTTTCCTTCCAGCATATAAAATACAATTACCCCCAAAAAAGAACCCAGAAGAGATCTAATAGGTTTGATTAGACTTAGTAACACATACATGAAGAAGACATCACAGGAAAAATCCAGAGATATGAGATCTGGAGCTCAGTAGAAAATTTAGGACTAAATATTTAAACATGGAAGTCATAGGCAAGAAAATAGTAATTAAAACAATAGGAATCAATCCATTTTCCTGAGGGAATTTTGTAGTTTGAGGACAGGACCCAGGACAGAGCTCTGGAGATCAACATTTGATTGTAAGGTGAAAGAATATGCAAAAAAGAAAAAAACCAACTCACTAAAAAGGAATAGTGATAGGTAGTAGGTGAATCTGTAGAGCAGGTGTGGTGAAAACATGGGGTGAAAGAATTTCAACAAGGAAGAAGAGGTTCAAGGCAGTAAGTGCTACCAAGAGGCCAAACAAGATAAGGGCAAGTGTTAATTGGATTTGGCAATTAAAGGGTCTTGAGTGACTTTAGAAAAATATCACTTGAGTGTATGGGAACAGAAGTTTGACATGAAGTAATAAAAATAATGAGTTGGAATTATAAAGAATTATAAGCCCATAAATATAAAGAAATACAGAAGCATAATATAATTAAAGGTAGAACATATTTATATGACCACTCATTATTTTATAATTTTATACTAAGTTCCACTAGTGCTTACCACCTTGAGAAGGAGAAAGAGAGAGAAGTGGACTTTGGGTCATTAGAAGGACTTTTTTTTAGGGTAGAAGAGGTAAAAGTATGTTTATAAGTTAAAGAGAGAAGTCAGGAGAGGAGAGGCCTCTGGAGACAGAGGATTGGGTGATGGCTCATGGTCCCCAAGGAAAAGGAAGAACTGAAATCCTTAGCCCCATAGAAAATTCCCATTGTTAGGGAATTGACAGGTGAATGATGGGAACGTGATGTTAAGAAAATAATTCTATTAAATGTGCCCTTTGTGATAACCCCCACATGCTTTCTTTTCCAAGAAAAATTTACCTGAAGCCTTGCCTGGCTTCAGTGGATAGGATATGTAACATTCCTCAGCAAACTGCAGTTCACTGCAGGAGTAATGCAGGCCCAAAATAATGTTGGTAAGAGGAACCTAAGTTACCCTAAAGGAGGAGACTTTTGTGACCAGATCCTGGGGAGATGAGAATGGTTACAGATTTTATGGTTCCTCCTAACCATAAAATCTGTAAGAATGTATGGTAAAGGATCCAATTAGAATGGTCAGAATGGGCCAAGGTGATCTTGAATGGGGGCTTGAAAGTCTGATGTCACCTTGCTGTCAGTTAAAAGTCAGGAGGTGGACTTGGGCAGAACTCTCTGGAAACTTTTCTGAGATCCCCAATAAAACTGGAGTGCAGGAGAGGCACATTGTCCCTTTCTTCTCTGAGAGGACCCACTCTTTCCTTTAAGAGTGTCCCCTTTCCCTTTTCCTATTCCTTCAATAAACTCATTCCTGTTACACTGAGCAACATGTATGAAATCTTTCTG